AATAACCAAGACTGTAGCTGCATCGAGTCTATAGACCATAGAAACCTTCGCTCGAAGCCCTTTGTGCGCCGGTTGAACAAGACACGAGTTTCCCGATAACAAGTAGACGACCCTCCAGGTAAGTGTGAACTACAACAGAATACATGGCATGAAAAATTGGCACTCAAAGCGATGCGGAGCATTGCCAGCAAAACCGGCTCCGGCGCACTAATTTGGACCTATATGGAACATACTTTTGCGGAACGCTCAGCCTTATACCTTGATGAGCGGCTTAACGCCGACAAAGCATGGCATCAATAACGGCAAGAAACTTGAGAAATACAATTGAGAATAAACCTGAGGACAGTGAAAATGGTACTATGGAATTGGTTCACGATTCTATTGATTAGGGGTAAAGTCTAGTAGTAATTGGTTATATATGCCTACAGTGCTTCAGGTAATGGTAAGTGACCATGGCAAGTCTTCTTAACAAACTAGATCGAGGGACTCTTCACTGAAGAGCTTGATTAACCTGGTTTGACGGCTTCAAGTATATTGGGTGTCTCGCTACCAAGCATTTGCAGCAGTGGCTGCGTTGACTGGTAATTCATTCTCTGAACTCCATCACAAGGTACCTACTAAAAGACAGCGACAGCTGCGCCAATGAAAGTTGGTAACCATAGTTCCTCTGTACTACGTAGAATTCTTATTGCGCGGATGCGCGAAGTACAACCAGTCCGCTTGGCCAAGGAGGTGAATATAAGCTGGATGTTCCGGTTCAGATCTCTGCGACCCCATTATTGGAAGTGGGGGCATGCTTGAAACATAGTAGCGAACAACTATCGCACAAAGTCCATTTCAGCAAGTAAATGATGGGGAGGCGGACGCAGGTCAGAAACACTCGTGCAGAAGACGTGCTTGGATGGCATGATGGGAGGCGGGAACGTGGGAACGCCAGAAGAGCATGGAACTGCGGGATCGGAGGAAACGGTGAAGTCGGTGAGGCAACGGATGTCGTCCGACAAGGGGCACTCGGTCCAGACCTTGACCCAAAGCGGCAAGTTCCCGAAGCCGGCGAGTCGGTGTGGAAGTACATGCCTCTAACGCTCTGAGGAATACCTAGGTAATGCGACGGATTTTGGCGTCAAGTTCGGTACGACGCTACCACGGTATGCGAAAGCCGTTACTAAATCAACCCTTTTCCTTTTCCTCGGTGTCTCAACGTATTCGGAACGGCTATTCCGTAGCACGGCCTGGGTCTTGTTGCCACTGGCGTGTTTCCGGTGCTTTGGACGATCAGGGTCCATCCACACCGACTCAGGGTCCCCAGCCAAAAGTGGCTGGCACTGGGTGGGTGGGTGTGATTAGTTCCTCGGTCCCCTTTTTCCTCTCTGTCTTTGGTTGCATTTTCTGCCTTCCGTTTTCCCGTCCATGCTCCTGGCCAGAGTAACACGAATCAGTCTGGGTCCTTCGTGGTCTCATCTGATGTCGCTGGCCGCTGTGTCGGTCCCTGTGCCTTGAGTACATCTACCCGAGATAGGGAATCGCCTTACCAATGGCCTAGCGGCACGGTGCGTTGTTCGCGCAATAATGAGGCCCCCTTAGGCTGCTGGAGAGGGGCACGATAGGGAGGTCAGGCGCATGCTCTCGCGAGAAACATTGACAGACTAACCAGCGTCGAGTCTTATGTATGGCCGCCCTCAATTATACGTTGGTGGTGGCTGCGATAGACGAGCTGTCAATATTGCCGAAGTGCATACTATCTGTAGTCTGTAGCCATGCAGTGTATTGCTTTGGGCCAGGACGGGACGGGATACCGGAGCCGGCATTGGGTTTGCGCCAACATCGGCTCCACGCATGCGGTGTCTCCCGGTTTGCGCACCAGGCGAATGGCAAGAAGCCATGTCAAACAAGGCGGACGATATGTTACTGAGGCCGTGAATCTTGTTGAAGCTTGGACGAGAGAGCACCACGCACCACGCAGTGCTGCAAAGCGGCACACTGTGACCGTCGACATACTTGAATCTGGTCGGATGCTGCTTGTGACAAGTGATATGAGGCGCGATGGGGCAGATTTAGTGGAGGAACATGGCCCTTGCCACCTCCTGCATTGCGCATCTGTATCCGTACATAGAATGTCACAGTGCTCAGGCCAGCAACATGCTATGCCGTTGTTGGGGTCTCGTACAGGAGGCTGGAAATGCTGCTGCATGGACCTCAGCCATGGCAGAGATTGAGATGGGTATCGCACCTCGTCGTCGCCTCGATATCCCCGGATTCCATTATCAATCCTCCTCGCGCTTCATGCATGTGTGACTTGTCGCTTTCCCCTGCACCGCCGCAAGCCAGTGGAGGAACCCAGCAACAGCGTTCACTAGTGGCAATGTGGGCCTAGAGCGGATGTGGTAGGAGGGCGCGGTGTTCGGGGGCGGGCTGGAGGTACAGTATCTTGGATTATCGTGCTGTGATGATCTATCTTTATCCGTCCAAAGTCGGGGTAGGAATCGCCAGGGTCTATTCCGTAGCTCTTGAATGTTTCGAGGCAACTTGATAAGAGGGAAATGTTCGTTGATCCCTATGGAGTCGGAAGTCGAGTATCCCCATGCGTGAGTTGAAGTGGAAAAAGGTCAAAGTGTATCTGATCAATTGCGGGATGATTAAGGGTCTGGCAAGCGTCGATTGCTGCAACGTCGTCCAGATATGGTATACGAGAGTGTGCCAGCGTACAGAAATTCCGTTCGGGGCGAGCTTGTAGGGTTGCTTGCGTAACGGCTGAAGCCGAGCCTCTCTGCGGTTGTCGCACATCGCGGGGTCATCAAGAGGCAGCCTGATCGGAAACCACCATAGTCAACGGTGGTCTGGCTGTGCTGAGAGGTTGGCCTGCTTCTTCACCAGGTTAAGCAATGTCGTTGCCTAAGCTGTCCATCAGGGGTTATATCGCGCCGACGAATGAATCTCGTGAACCATGAATTGAGTTTGACGATGGAACACAATGCCAGGCAGTCGTGAGGCAGTCAGCCTGGGCGTTTGCCCCCAATGGCATGCTGGGAATGCCCTCATGCTGAAGTATTGAGATTGTTCATCGAGTGTGAATCATGAATTGATTGCCAGCGTGGGTGGAGCTTGAACCCTGGCTGAACTCGGGGGGTACTAAGGTAGGCCGGCCGTGCGAATAGTGTACCTACAACATTGCCCCAAATTCCAACGGCAAGGTCGGATGGGGGATAGCAACCGGAGCGGATCTTGGTTGGCGGTGTTGGTGGTGGTAGGTATCCGCAAGCTCGCCCACCTCGTCCGACGAACACAAACACAAAGCGTAAAAGACAAACGGGACCAGGCCTGTCAGACGCGGCTGATGATGGGCACGCGGGATGCCTATCCGTAGAAGCTCTTGCATATCTGTACCATTGCCTGCCGGGTAGATGTGTGACACAATCCAGGGGTGGTGTTGTTGAAGAAGAAGGTTAGTGACCGAATGTCGGAAGCATAATGCAGTGTGGCCTCTTGCCTCAAATGGATGGAAATAAATCAAAGCAGATGACGAAAGATGGAGGGTGGGTGGGTTGGTAATTGACAATGGAAGTTCTGAATTGCCTCACGGAGGAAAAGGATCGGACAGAAGAGCGAGGAAGGAACAAAAGGCAGGAGCTTGAGGAGGTTCGCGCATGCCGAAAATCAAAGGAGCGCCAACGGTGCCTCGTCCATCTTGGGCCAATTTGAGACGATTAGGAACCTTATCCGCCTCGCCTGGGCGGCCTTATCGGTATCAGCAGCAGACCTAAGCCAATCAGAGCTGTTGCATAGCTACCTTAGGCGTCATCAAGACCCTGAAGCGGCACCAACTAAATTCTTATCGCAGGGTGCTGAAGGCTCCCGATCGCGCACCCACGGCGCTAACGACTCTGCAGTGTCCCCTGGAGTGCAGTGCATGACACGATTGGGGGTCCAACGCAAGATACGTACCTGATCCATGTACCTCTCACCCCACACAAGCTGTACCGATACCTCCACCCTCCACCAGTCCCGTTCTCCCCGATTCTCCCATCCCTCCAACTTCCCTCCTCAACCACAGCCGTGCGCGCCGTTCTTTGTCTCCGTCCAAGACATCCACGCAACTCCCTTTCCGTCTTCTACCGTGGCACCAACAAAATGGAAGAAATCTGACACCCTTCGATCCGAAGTACTGCCTTCTGGAACCCTGAAATCGACCGGCTTGACGCCAATTAGACCCCTGCCCCACTCAATGCCCGGTGCTCGACCTCCTCCAAGGATGGACGAATTGAGTGATACGGGGAAACAGGGGGAAGCAATCACGACAATCACCACAAGCCACGCCGGCCTGCTTGTCCTCCTACCGGGGCCCTTGATGTCGCCAACCTACCGAGGCCAATGGCGACAATGGACGTGGTTCCTCGACTTCCGACTCGATGCCTTGGCTGCCTCGCAATAGCTTACACAGCAGGTGGCTACGGCTTCCCATCATCTACATCCATGTGGTGCGAGCCACCCTTCACCTCCGCCATCCCGGTCACGGCCCCGGCCTCGACTCATGCTTGTCAGATCGTCCAATACTTCCGGCGAGGCTGCCACGCTTTTGTTGGAGGTACCCAGTCCGCGACTCTTACGAGCTAGGTGAGCCCTCCTTCGTCTACATTGTACACTCTTCCTCCGCCTTTTTGTTTCCCTTATAAGCTGCCTCGTCTTCCATCCGCGACTCGTGCTCATCTATGCCTCTAAAGATATCCGTACCCTCCATAACCTTCCTTCACCGTTCCACCTTGCCTCGAGTCGGTCGTCTGTCTGTGCCAAGGCATTAGACCGCCCTTATTTCGCTCGATCTTGCCGTAACTGACCCGTGTACAACAATAAGCTCGGGACGTTTTCTGTAAGCTGGCAGTTCTAGAAAACTACTGCTCAGCTCCCACCTTTCACCTACCTCGTCCTCGACCGTTGTGATTCCTTAGACTTGCAACAAACACCTAATTCTCAAACTTCTGTGTTCCTTTTACCGCATTCATACCATGCACGGCTACAGCTCTTCAGAAGAGTCGGACGACCCTCGTCGCCCGCGCCCTGTGCCGGCATCGACAAACACCACCGACAAGAAGAAGACGAAAAAGAAGAAGACGCCTCCGCAGCCTTCTATCAATCATATTTGGAAGAAGTTCCAAGACAAAAAGTTCAACAAGGCTTTGGCTGTGCTACCATTCGACCCCGTTCTGCCGCCAGCAAGCTCAGAGAAGCCCAATGAGTTGCTTAGCGCTGGATACGAACGAGCCGTCGAGGAGTGCCGCCGGAAAGTGAAGAAGATAATCCAAGAATGTCGTAGAGTCAACATGCGATATCGGGACCCTGGCTGGGATCTGGTGAGTTACCTCCACCCCCCAATGCTTGCGAATTCGAACCTGGGGAGCTAACAGACCACTCAGGACTGGGATTTGAAGTGGGAAAAGGGTCACTGTCTCAACACTCTCGGCCATACCAAGTGGCAACTTTCTAGAACGACTCTCTCCAACCCAAGCGCATCTGTCCCCAAAGCAGTAAAGCGAGTTCACGAGATTTTCGAGAAGCCAACCTTTTTGAAGAACGTCAATGGCGGAGATGTGAAGCAGGGGAGCCTCGGGGACTGCTGGTTGATGGCTACGCTGACTGCCCTTGCTAACGTCGAGGGCGGTATTCAGCGCATCTGCGTTGAGTACGATACTCGCATCGGCATCTACGGCTTCGTCTTCTACCGAGATGGCGAGTGGATCTACTCCATTATCGATGACAAGCTGTACCTGAAGTCTCCTTGCTGGGATTCGCCTAGCATGCAGCGGGATCTCCTCCAGCAGATCGACCGAGAGGACGTTGAGCGTGTCTACCGCAAGACCTATCAGACCGGATCCAAGGCCCTCTTCTTTGCTCAGTGCAAGGACCAGAACGAGACCTGGGTGCCGCTGATTGAAAAGGCTTATGCCAAGGCACACGGTGACTTCGCCTCGTTGGCTGGCGGTTGGATCGGCGAGGGCTTGGAAGATCTCTCGGGTGGTGTCACCACCGAGCTGCTTACATCGGATATCCTCGACCTCGAGGGCTTCTGGGAAAACGAACTTGCCAAAGTCAACGAGGAGTTCCTCTTCGGCTGCTCTACCGGTCTCTTAGACGGAGGCTATGGCGAGAGAAATGGCATCTCGGAAGGCCACGCATACGTGATCATGGAAGCTAAGACGCTCAAGTCTGGAGAGCGTCTGATCAAGCTGCGCAACCCTTGGGGCAAGATTCGCAAGGGTGTATGGGAGGGTGCTTGGTCCGACGGCTCCAAGGAATGGACCATGGAAGTTCAAGAGGAGCTTGGCCACCACTTTGGCAATGACTCTGTCTTCTGGATCAACTACGACGACTTCCTACGCAAATTCCAACATATCGACAGAACCAGGTTATTCCGCGACCCCGCTTGGAGGTGCGCTCAACGTTGGATCGGCGTTGAGGTGCCCTGGAAATCCCAGTTCAACGAGAAATTCCAGGTCAAGTTGTCCAAGGATGGGCCGCTAGTCCTAGTTCTGACTCAACTTGACACGAGATACTTCAAGGGACTTCAGGGACAGTACGCTTTCCGCATCCACTTCCGGATACATGAGCGAGACCGCCCTGGTGCCGAGGACTATATCGTACGCTCCCACGGCAACTATCTCATGGACCGATCCGTCTCTATCGAGTTACCGGACATGCCAGCCGGAGAGTACAGCATCTTCATGAGTGTCACTGGTGAGAGGGACACTAACATCCCCTCTGTCGAAGATGTGGTCAAGCGTGAGTGCAAGAAGCGCGTTGAGAACGACAAGCTGGCGCAAATTGGTGCCGCGTACGACTTGGCTCATAGCAAAGGCACTGCGCACCTCCAAGAGGTCGCTAGGCTGCGAAAGATCAAGGAGCAGCAGAGAGCCTCCGAATCTCGCCAAAAGGAGCGCCGCAAGCTCTGGGAGAGACGCCACACCAACCGCGAAGTCACCAAGCAGCAGACCAAGAAGAACAACGAGAAGCGCGACCGCAAGCGTGCCAAGAAGGCGGAAGCAGCCAAGGCTAAGGCTGACCTCGAGGCCGCTCAAAAAGCCGCCGCGGAAGCCAAGAGGGCCGAAGAAGCGAAACTTTTGGAAGACGCAGAGGCAAAGAAGAAGAATGCAGAGAAGCCCAAGGACCAAGCCGTCCAGACGGAAGTCACCAAGGAGGAGCCCAAGGAGGAGCCCAAGGAAGAGTCCAAGGACGTTGCTGCAGGTGACTCCAAGACAGATGGCACAAACGAGTCCAAGGAAGAGCCCAAGGATGGAGCCAAGAAGGACGCCACCGACGATAAGCCTGCAGACAAACCTGCCCCTTCCCCGGCTCCTACCCCTGCTCCCGCACCGCCAGCGCAGAAATCCTACGACTCAGATGGCGATTCGTCTGACTCGCCCATCGAAGACTGGGAAGAGTTGTATAGTGACGATGACATGGTCAGAAAGCCACGCCTGACTCCCGCTGGACCACCCAAAAGACATGACGAGCGTTACGAATCTGAGGAGGAGGGTTTGCCTGATCCCTGGAACGCTATCTGCATCGTCGGAGTGCGCGTCTACTCCATGGATGAGGACCTTGAAGTTCGTGTCGTCATGGAAGGTGGCGAGCTTCTCGAGGGTGGTATGGGCAAGAAGGGAGAAGCCGATATCGACAACGCCCAGGTGAACGCGGGCGGAGAGCGCGAAAGGCTTGAGGCTGATAGTGCAGATGCCGCGAAGCCTGATGTCAATGTTGTGATCCAGAAGACAGAAGAATCGACCGAAGACGCCAAAGATGACAAGGACGAGACGAATGAAGACTCAAAGTCGGAAAAGTCAGACAAGAACAGTGTCGATTCGACCGATTACGACAAGCTACACTCCGGAACTTCGACACCAGACGTCATTGCCACCCCGGAAGCTACCCCACTAGAGTCACACAAAGAGTTGTGCTAGAGCCTATTAGACCAGTGTAGACAGACGACGTACACGAGGGGAGACGATGGCATAGAGAAGATGTGCTCATGTTGAAGATTTTCTTTGCTTTCATGGTGTCATTTATTTGGTTTAATCCCCGACCCAAGGGTCGACGGATAGCATGAAGGGCGTTGACATTGCGAGCGAGACCAAGCAGCCATATGTCAACTGCGTTCTTTGACATGCTCTGGAGTTCAGAATTAGCAACGTATATACATGCTTGATGGTTAAATACAGCCCACTGTTCCTATCACCTATAATGGGTACTATCACCTCATTTCAAGTCAGCAGAAACATACTCATCATCACGCGCAATGCTGCCTGAACCTTGCACTGATTGATAGGAATCCATTTCCTAATGAATAAGAATCACACAGTAGACACTTTTCAATGAGGCCAGACTTTCAGGACTCGGCGATGCGATTGACTGCAAGGAAGCCATGCGTCATTGCAGGACCCAAAGTCGATCCAGCTCCCAGATAAGTCCGCCCCATGATGCTCGCCGCCGTGTTACCAATAGCATACAGCCCAGGAATCGCCTCGCCGTCCTCCTTTAGTACCCTTTGATGCTCATCAGTAACGAGGCCACCCTTAGTGCCCAAGTCGCCTGGCCAAATGGCGATAGCATAGAACGGTGCCTTGCTCAATGCTCCCATGTTTGGGTTGGGCCCGCCAGCGGCGGGGTCACCGAAGAAGTTATCATATGCGTTGTCACCCTTTCCAAAGTCTGCGTCAACGCCAGTCTTGCACATGTCGTTGTACCTCATGATGGTTCCTTCCAGACCTTCAGCGTCGACTCCAATCTGCTTCGCCAAGTCTCTCAGAGTGCTTGCCGCGAACATTGCTCCATTCGCAATCGGCTTCTTAGGTTTCATTCTCGCGAACAGCTGAGTGCCAAGCATGTATCTGTTCCGGTGGTTCGTATCCATAATCAACCAGGCTGGAATCGCCTTGACAGACTTGTTCCTCTCATATTGATCGTGTCCAGCATCCGTGTAAGACTGCGCCTCGTTCATAAATCTCTTCCCGGCGTTGTCGACGATGATACAGTGCGGTCGAGATCGCTCTATAAGCGCAAAGTGAGGTTTGCCCGTCACCGGGTCGAAGATGGTCGGCCCCCACCACGCATCATCCATCAACGCCGTCGCCGCGCCGAGTTTCTGCCCCGCGATGACAGCGTCGCCTGTGTCGCTTTTGGGCGAGTTGGTCCATGACGTGCTGGCTGGGGTCGGACCGTACTTCTCTCGGAGAGGTTTGTTGTGCGCGAAGCCACCTGCTGCAAGCATGACGGCCCGGGATGCCTTGATGGTCTTGGTGGTTCCATCGGGGAGTTTGACTCTTGCGCCGGTTACTTTTCCTGCTTGGGAGATTGTGAGATCCAGGAGGGAGGTACGTAGTCGGATGTCGGTTGCGTGTTTGATGTTGAGGTAGAGAAGCTGCGCGATGAGTCCGCGGCCTAGGCTGACGAGTTTCTGTCCAAGGATGGTTTTGCCGACGATGGGTAGCATGATTCGGGTCGACTTGATGAAAGCTTGGAGAGAAGCCGTCATCATTGTGATCCATGGTGCTTGCTCACCGTGGATTGCCACGGGTATGTTTGCAAGCGGCAGCGTAGCTTGCCATTTTCCCAGCTTCCTAGTATCAAAAGCGACAGACTCGATAGTTCTCCCACCTCCTTTCCCCATGGCGCCCTTCGTCTTGGGGTAATAATCCGGATACCCCCTACTAAATCTCCATTCAAAACCAAGGTCTCTCAGGAAGCAAATCATCTGTGGCCCATTATCTAGATACGCCTTGCGCTTCGCCAGCGACGACACTGGCCCGACGTCTCCGACGGCTCGATCAAAGTACGCGAGGGCATCTTCTTTGGAGTCGTTTATGCCTGCGGCTTTGGATATTGGGTTTGCTGGGATCCAGAGGCCTCCGCCTGAGATCACTGACGCGCCACCGAGTGTTGCTTCCTTTTCGATGACAACGGGGTTGAGGCCGAGGGTTCGGGCGCGGAGGGCGGCCGTTAGACCACCGGCGCCGGAGCCGACTATGAGGATATCTACTTCTTCGTCTGCTGTGGGCGATGTTTTCTCGGAGAAGAGGCGTTTCAGTTGGAGGACTGGTTGCCAGCATCGTAGTGAGATACTCGGTGTTGGTTGGAGGCGTGCAAGAATGATACCTCTCACCACATTGGAGCGCATCATGTTGAACCGATGTCGCGAGATGAAAGTCTCAGTGAGCCGGTCACAGAATCATAGGATGAACGCAAGAGAAAGGGAGCAGGGCACGAAGAGTAAGCAAGCGAAGGATCGAGAACCATGTGCCTGATGCCACTGATTGTCCGATGCATTTCAACTGAACCATAAGCAGTAATCAGTGAGCACGACGGATGTCCCCCGCTTGAAGCGACAGGGGTTGTCGAACCAAGGTCTCCTCTCCTTGGCCTGCAGGGTGTTTCTTGAACCAAGACACCCCCTCAACGTTCGTGTAACTCTTCCTAGAACCCTCCACTTCGGATGATTCGGGTGGGCATTAAAGGCGGTGATTGCACTTGAAAATGGGGATCGCGACCGTCCGGAGCAACGGAGTCACGAACCCCAGTATTGCGGCCGAGGGTCCGGAGCTAGAGCCGTCAGGTGCCGAAGAGTCCACGTGTTCCGCGGTCTCCACGGCGGCCGGTCGGTCGGACGAACATCTTGTGCTTAGAGAGAAGCTCACCATACCGAATCTTTTGCCGGCAATGAAAGTTATGGATACCGAGGTACTCAATGGGCTCTTGGCAAAGGCCGTCGTGAACTGGGACGCCGTAGAAGCGATTGCGAGTTGGATACTTGGGTGAAAGCTACTTGGCTATACGTGTCCGGAGTCGGCGTTCAATCAATATGTGGTGGGTTGCATCCGGGGGTCAGAGAGCTTACGCGTTCTCTCGGCCGAGGGTATCAGGTGTACCATGCCTTGTATCTCCTGCCTTCTAGACTCGCCACCGTCCATGTCACTCATCTTGTAAGTAATTCGTGATATCCATAGCCTGAAAACTCTATGTGTGACTGTGCTGTGATGTCTATGCGGACTCTAATTTCTGAATGAATACTGCACTACTCCGTGGTGATGCGACCTAAGACGAGCAAAGCAGCAAGATAACAGCTGGCTGAAATAAGGTACGGGATGCCGAGAGCTGCGCCGCCGATCGCTATGCTCTTCACCCATAGGACCATCATCAGTGGTGCGCCTAAGAGCGATCCTGAAGTCTTGACCATCATCACAATCGAAAAAATGTGTGACTCTGGGTCCGCGGAGTTGGCCGGCTGATCGTGTCTCTTTGGTGAGATGAAGGGAGACTTGAGCAGTGATAGCGTGAATACCGGCAGCGCCGAGCCGAGAGCGTAGAGAAACAGTGAGGGTACCATCATCCAGATCCGGCTCGCTACAGCAATCGCCAGAGCACCGAGGATAGAGACAACCAAGCAGATGTTGGCGTAGTGTATGTTCATCCGGTGACTGGCCAGCTCAGGCGGAATATGCCGCAACCTATTCTGTCTCGACCGAAGAATGGCGGGGATGATGGCCGTCAGGAGCGTGAAGTTGACGACGGCTTTGGCGGAGAGGAGATAGCCTGTAGACGCAAACGTCCAGTGATAGCGTTTCGAGATGTATTGCACAAGCAACTTCGTGTCCGAGCTTGCGAGCGAGGTGAGGACAAAGCTGATGAGCAGGAGGGTCATGTTGCGAGGATGACCTGCGACGATAGACTTCAAGACGCCGAAGCGCTGGAGGATGGATCTCAGAAGGGATGAATCGGCGTCTTGAGCTTTCAGCACAGGGGATGAGAGGAGAGGTCTCGCTTGGTCGTCCGCGTCAGGGTGGCTGTCAGGTGATTCCTCCAGGAGGGAGATAGCGGGAATGGCCAGAAGAAGGAGAGCGATTCCAATCCAGAACGGAAGCCAGAGAAGAAGACTCATAGATGCTGATGCGAGAGCTGGGCCAAGCAAGTTGACGACATACGACACGGAGCCCATCCATCCGAAATACGTGGCCCTGTGTCACCTTAGTTAACCAGGGTAATGCGCGAGGTCAGGTAGATGGCCTAATCACCTCAGGACGTGATCGTCTGTCATGTTGGAAGCTATGGCATATGTGATTGAGTTGAAAACACAATCACCGCCTAGGACCGAGAAGAACGGGGATGCGATCATGGCTTTGGTCGGCAAGGTTTGCTCAAAGTACCCCACGATAACGGCCCACGTCAACAAGATGATGCGGGGCACAATGTTGAGGCAGAGGATGGACCGCCGACCGTACCTCTCCGCGAGGAATCCCAGCGGAACCGTCATGATGAAGTCTGGATGGACGTCAGTCGAAGAGCGAATGCCTGCCAGTGAGATTCTGCGCGCTTACCACCCACGATCCACGCCGTTTCCATAGTCCCTTGAATCCAGGCAAGACCCTGCTGCACATCGTCCACCTTGCAAAAACCTTCTGCAACATTGCCATCTTTGTCGATTACCGAAGGATCTGTGACTGCGTAATGCTCGCGGCAGAGGCGGCGTTCAATGACTCTGCTGAGGGGAAGCTGGTAGAGACTGGCGGCCAGATTGACCAGAAGTACTAGTGCGAGGAGAGCCCAAATGCCACTTCTGCGCGGTTTGCGGGAAGACCTTAGATTAGTGGGATCATCATGTGCATGGCTAGCATTCACAGGATCTGGTGAAGGAGGCATGGTCTACTCGACCCTCCTATATCGGTGGTTGACTGATTTGGTTTGATGAGGAAACCAAGACGATTCAGCGAACTTCTGGAATGGCGCCCATGAATGATGACTAAGCTTGTTTACGGGCATCGCGCCGCCGTGTATTTTCACCACGATTCTTCAAGGTACATGTGACTACTCTACACGCATTTCAATGTGTTTTCTCTAATACTAGTCATGACTCGAAGCACATATGCTAATAACCGGCGAAAGACTACGGACTGCGGCAAGCAGAAGTTGTCAGGAATGTAATCTTATTGTCACTGACTGCATTCACTCATCTCCCGCCAAAGTACGCAATCCCTGCCGAAGGAGGTGAGAGTAAGCGCAGACTTGATCCCCCTGGAATATGAACTCCTATAGATGACCATATCTTGAGGCAGGGTTTCCGATCGTGCATCCAAGTCAGCGTTGAAATCTTCGAACCATATTTCAGGTCGATGTGCAGTCCCGCCATGCGTTTCTTCCAGAATGCGTAACTCGCGCAAAGAAGATGGAAGCGAACCCAACAAATCCTCGGGCCGCACAGTCTCGATGCTCATGGTAAGAGATTCGAGTTTGTGGAGACTCTTCAGCTTTGCAAAGGGAAGAATCTTGCCAGATATCAATATGAGACTCGTCAAAGTGTTACGATGCTTTGCAATGGCCTCCATGATGGATGCTTCTCGTGAGAAGCCATTAAAAACAAGCTCTAGATGGCGTAGCATGGTGAAGTTCGAGGTCATTGATTGGAAGTGCCGTGCACTGAGATTGGTACGCCGTAGAATGAGACTGGTGAGGTTCGGCGGAAGGGTGAAAACGGACATAGGGTCGTCGCAAAGATCAAGCCGAAGTCCTTGAAGGTTTGGCGCGCAGTGCAAAATAGACTTGAACTCGTCCATAGTACTGAGGCCTGGTTGCATCAAGTGAAGGTGTCGAAGATTATTGAAGAGGATTGGCTTAGTTGTCTTGTTCGGCTCGGGGATCATGTCAAAGGGTTGTCGATAGACGCCGCGTTTGGGTTCAAACATCAACTCAACGGATTCGGCGTTCTGTGCCAGTAACATGGCGACTTCCACGAAGACGTTGATGTTCCAGTCATACTCGTACCAATCGGGTCGTATCTCGAGACCTACATCTTGGATGATGCCAGAAACGAAATCGGCATCTTCAAGATCAATGAGACGCGTTACTGCACGGTGGGAATATTCTTCAAGGCGTTGTGATCTTGCCTCAATTGTGAGTCTTCGGGTGTACTGAGCGCAGTGAGGCCGTGCTTTCCAACACTGGAACAGTGATATGAACTTCTTCACATTCGCATTTGGAATGTAAATGTGTCGGTGAAGGACCGGCTCAGCAATCTCACGGAGACTGCGGCATGTCTGGCAGAGTATAGCCGACGTTGGGTTGGAGTTGAAAGGAGGGACGTAAAACTCCAAACTAGGTGGTTCTGGTGGGTTGTCGGCGAGTTCGGCTAAGACCTGTTGCAAAACCTCCAGTGGAAGAGACAGTAATGATGCCATCCCTTGGAAGTAGGATCTCAACGATCAAGGTCAAGATCCAGAGCGAAACAGAGCCCGTACGTATGTGTGCTCCTTCGCCGGCGGCAAAGACTTTGTGCCAACTAAATGTGATTATTGATGGCTGAGATGTTGCTTTCTATGACGGTTGAGGTGAACACTGAGAAAAGAACAGAGGGATCATACGAGAGGGCTGCAATCAATTTTAAAGGTCTCATTTCGAAGGATTCATGGGCCCCTCTGCCAAGCTGAAAGTTGTTGGTTGATCCCAGCATGGCTAATACTCCGGTGTCTGCTCTAATCAGCTGCCCGATTCAAGTGGAGCATCGTCAGGAGATCGCTTCCCCGGCTTCAACTATCATAGGTGGAGAGTGGATGCACGTAGCCGTGCCTAGTGGGCTCATTGTGCATGGCCAGACCATGCATTTCGCCGCAATTGGGGGTTCGGATCCTGCAAGTGACATTGCCATCCACGGTTCTGGGAATTAAGTCCTAGTCAAGCTCTTTAGTTGCGGGTGTGAATGACTTCAAATTTGAAATGTGAATTGCTAGTAAACTCGATCCTGTGAGTTGTAAATAGTGGTTATCCTAACACAAGTTAGGGTGGGTGCCCGTGCCGCCCCCGGAGTGCTCAAGCCGTAGGTCGGGTATCACGTCAAGTAAAACCCCGGATCTGAGGGCGGAGGGTCGCAATTCCCAAGATAGCATTAGCCAAGTATGAATCAATCAGGCTGTTCATTCAGGGTTTTGATGTCCGCATGTCGGCAAGTTATTCAAACTTGTGAAGTCTTGTTTCCTCGAATCTACAAAGGCAGTGCAGTTTGTTTCTATTGACGCCTCGGCCATCCACTATTATGAGTTAACATGGGTCGGATTAGTTAGTGAACACTCCCGAAAGGGGAAGCTCGGGGACGAGTTTCGATGTTGAAGAATAACTGTCAACAGCATATGCCCCAAGATTATTTCGCCGAAAACTTCCACCGCAACACACTTCACTCCAGAAGAAACCTCGGTATCAAGTTACGAATACTGACCGATCAAGTGATTACGAAGTGGCCTATTTAAGGGACCCGATTCTCGGGTTGCGTTCAAGACTAATTGACACTTCTCACAACACATCACCTTGACTCTAGATCGCATCACCATTCTTCCAATCGCTTCGAACATGACATCCCCTCATCTATCCAAGATGTCACCGTCGCGCAGCTTTATTATACCAGGCATTGCTGGCCTCATGACCGTAGCTCTCATCGGTTCATACTTTCATGAACTCCCAAAGCGTGAAAGCATGGATTTTACCGTCGACCCGACCTTCGATCTTCCTCGACCACCAACAGATCTTCCATACAAGAAGACCAGCAATATCATTTGCATGGTATCAATGACGGCAATCGGGCTTTCAGCAGTTCTTCTCGGTGCAAGAGATGCTCTACGCTCCCGCACTCTTTTGCCTTTAGTTCTTCCACTTAGTGGCGCAATGATTGCGTTCCCCGAGACTTTCATCGACGTCCTGGGATGCATTTACTACCCATGGACCGACCAGAATGCTTCCTTGCACATTCTTGGTCGTGAGATGCCGCCGTGGATACCAATCTGGTTCGGATACGCCTCGTTGATGCAGATGAACCTCCAGCTTTTGACCAACAAGACGTCGACGAGGACTCTGTGGTATTTCTTAGGCCTGATGATGGTCTCAGACCTCATTGTGGAGGAGATTCTCCTGCCAATGGGAGTTTATCACTACTACGGAAACCAGCCACTGGTTGTTATCAACAGATTCCCTTGGTGGTGGATGGTTCCCAACTCCATTGGCGTTTTTCTTGCCACGGCACTCGCCTACCGGTACCGATCTTACCTCGTGGGCTGGAAGGTTCTCGCTGTTCTGTTTCTGACCCCGATGTCGGTTGGTGGTATCTACGGCTTCATCTGCTTCCCGGCCTGGGTTGCCGTTAACGGGGACTACGGCTGGCTCGTGACTCAACTGCTTGGGCTTTTGACAATGGCCCTGGGTTTCGTAACATTTGCTATCATTCTAGAGATGGTGCTTGGAAAGAGCCCATTCAACTTGGACTCGAAAGATGACTCAAGCCGTCTGCCTAGGACCTCCGACGAATCCTCGGACGATGCCTTCCAAGACGGCGAGTTCTGAGCATTCGTGCGTTGCTCCCTATGCACACAACTCAAGCAATCACGTATGGCGCAGCGCGTTTTGATCGAGCCAAAAAATACCGCACTCTCAATTCGTTTAGGTTGATTTCAGATTGATACCACGCTTGTACGATAATAAAGACAGAACTCAGAACATTGCTGCTCAGATCGGGTATTTTTGGAAATAGATAAATTCTTAGAAGATATGGCCCAAGTAACACCCGCTACTGGTTGCCCTCATTTCGCTTCTGCACCCAGCTGTCTGCCAACCCTCTTGCATAGATTTCCTCCTGGCTCATGGAAGGTCGAGGTACGGAGTTGGGGGCCCTCATTTCTCCTCTTCCTCCGCGAGCTTCAGATGCCCGTATGGCGGCTTGAACACTTCCCGAAATTTGTCCAAGAATCTCTGGAGTTGGCGGCAGTGTAAATTGGGCTTGACGGTAGACATCCATTTCAGCCCCAATAGAACCGTACGGACTGACTCGGCTCCAAAGGTCATTTGAATCCCGGATCCTACCCCCGAGTCCTACGGCATCGAAAGGGTGAGTGAAATAGTGGTCTTTGCGTTCGAGACCGATGATTTGAGGGTATGGTGCGTTTGGGGGAAGCAACATCAGGCTTCCATACATTCTGTTGACTTCTTCAGTCTTTTCACGCAGTCGCAATATCATATTTGGTCCGTTGCTTGAAGTTTCTTAACTCGACAGATGGGACTCACTGCTGCTGCTGCTCGCCTGAGCATTGGTGCTAAAGGTATCGCCTACTAGATACCCGTTAGAATCAACTCTAGTCTTACGCGACAGTGCGCTTCTCAGATGAGCTGGCATGTATTCTAGAGGCACAGTAACTCGATGATTACCCCATTGTTGACAAGGAAAGCCGATGTTCGCGGCTTCAGCATTGTTCGGCTCTTGAATACACGCGTCGCAAACCTTCTCGCAATGAAAGTGGTGAAACCAGTGGGCATGCGGACAGCGGGCTTCTGAGCTAACTGCAGGGTTGAAGACGGTTTCGCGCGGTTCGTGTCGAACCCATGCAGGACAACGGGACCAATTGCCCCTGACATCGACGCTTAGTACATGTCCTTGCCCTGGGACGAAGACCTCTTTCGTCACAGAATGCTTATTGGTACGCAGGCAGGCGATGTTGCCGCAAGGATTATAGTATATGATTTTGAGACGTTGACACATACTGATGGTGGTCGTTGGCCTGTGAATTGCGAGATACGGTGCGCAGACTTGGAAAAGTTGGACAATGTTGTGAACTGAAGGGTGACGTTTGCAAATTGTTTGAGGATGTTCTGGACCAACAAAAACGGGAAATATCGAGCTGCCATCATACTCTGATAGATGTGACTTCTGAATACTCTCTCCCGCTGTAAAGTCCTGAAGATAATTGTTCTCCAAGTGATCTCGATACCGACAAAGACAACATCGAGTCCTCCTTTGTCAGCACGCACTCTTTCTTTCCAGAGCCTTGAGAGAGTTGTCGTTGCCGGCCGTCGAGTCTTGACCGGGGACCTTTGAACAAGGAGGAATAAGAAGGGATTGTTCTGCCGAGATAAAGATATACACGAATACATCTTTCAGACTGGATGTTCATACCTTACAAGCTACCTACTTACAATACCCATGTTGCTGGCAAGCAATCATAGGAGCCAACGAAGGTGACAGATCATAAGGTAAATCACGTCACAATCAAGCGTTGCGGAGTTTACTAATCCATCTAATCGATGCTTCTTCGATGAGTCACTCAATGTTGTCTCTATTAATCTTTTTACCTAAGACTACTTATTGCCTGGTCCTTTGAGGCGGCAATTTTGGGTATCGCATGTCCTTTTCCCGACTACTCCATGGTACCAACGCCAAATGCAAGTAAGCCAATACCTCAGAATCCTATGAAAAAGCCACCAATGACCTTCTTTTCTCGAAGCCGTGTACACACTGTTTAGTCTCCGTTCTCAGAAGACACTTCCCCAAGGCCGTGAGTCGCGAGATCTTCTCTCCCAGCTTCCTCTTCTAGGTCGACGGCGCTCCTCTCGTCTCAATCTCTCATACTCGTCCCGCTTGGCGAGCTCAGCAAGAAGAATATCCTTTTGCTCTCTCTCGCCGGCGAGTATCGATTGCAGGAGATCAACCTTCTTGATAAGCTCATCCACCTTGATGTGATCGCCCTTGAGCTTTCGTTCGAGCTCCTCGATGGTACGGACGAGCTTCTCGATCTCGCGTTGTCGTCCTTCGTGAATGTGATGATTGTTGCGCTCGATGCGCAACTCATCCTCGAGAATCTCGACTTTGCGTACGAGATCTGCGATTTGTCTAACGTATTCATCCGACTTTGGATGTCGGAGTCGCTCCTCTGCCAACAAAACCTCGAGATCATCGATTCTACGGCCGAACTCGATCGCTTTGCGCTCCCAATGCTCGCTTCTCTTGACTTCTCTGTCCAGATCTAGCAATAGGCGAGCGTTGCGATCTTCGAGTTCCTTTCGCCAGATGCGGTTGTCGTCTGGTGAAATGAAAGTGGTCCGCAGAATGCGAATCTCTTCTCTGCTTTCGTTCAGCCTAATGAGGCATTCATCGTAATCTCTGATCAGCTTGTCGTAACGAAGTTGCATATCATCGAAATGTGGATGATGGTGATCGTGATGCTCGTGAATATGCTCGTGTTGCCGTTCTCTCAACCTCTTTTCGAGGTGTTTGATGCGGTCGAAGAGATCGCCTCTTGAGTGCTCGTAGCATATCCTATCGGCAGTAACGTCGCAGTAGTTGATACAGCCATCGATCTTGCAGCAATGATCTGCACAGTAGCCGAACTGCAGTCTGGCAATCTTGCGACAGCCAGGTCTCTTGCACTCGTGATCACCACAGTACTCTCCTCCCTTCAGGCACGGCTTTTCGCAGCTCTTCCAGTGGCATCGATGTTTGTGACAGTGGACACCGAACTCGGATACCTCGTTGCAGCCAGCTATCGTGCAAGTGTGTCTCCGGCAAAAGGGACGAAAGCCACCCCCATCGATAGCAACAGCGACAGCGTAACATCTCGATGCGCCGCATCCGTGGTCTCGACAGAACACTCTCTCCTTGTCAAGCTCGTTGTCTCGGAAATTGACACACCCCTCGAATGTGCACTTATGGATGGCGCAGCAGCGAGTGCCAGGTATCGTCAGTTTGTCGCAGTCTTTGTACGTGCAGCGGAATTCACCATAGTCTGCCTTCTTGTCAATTCCTCGAACTACTGGGGATGTGAGTAGTAGGTAGTTGACTCACGGTGTTCGCAAAAGTCCCAGAGACCGCCATCTGGACGTCTGAAGCGGTGGAATTTGCAGTTCTTGACGATGCACCGTTGATGATTGAAGCAACGATGGTCTGCGTATATCACCTCTCGACAATTCAGCTCGCGGCAAATTCGCGAGTGGTGGTCGGCGCAGAACTCGGAGTTGGATATCCTCCTCTCGAAGCAGCTTCCGACTCGGCATCGATGGTCGGCGCAGTAGCCATACAGCTTGTCTCTAGTCTTGTAACAGTCCTCGACGAAGCATTTGTCTATTCAAGATGCATGTCAACGTCATAGTTTTGGATGTGGTGTAAGTGGGTAGAACTCACGGTCCGGACACATCCACGGGAGTGGCACATTCGAGGGGCAATCTCCGGTCCGAACACAGCCCACCACTCCGCATCTCCGGTCTGCTCTGAATGTTAGGAATTATCGCAAAACGAGAGCGAGAAGTAATCTCACGTTCACTGCAGAAACGATGCTGAGGGTCCTTTGGACGGTTGCACATTTCTAAGCCGAGTACGCAGAATTTGCATGTATCTGGGGAGGGAGTATTAGCTTGTGCGATCTGGGCCTAGAGTGGCATCTATACTTACGATCAACGCAGAAATCAGAGTAAATTCTGATATCCGGTCTCAGGGGATCGTTGCGAATGAAAGCATGTTTTCTGGAGCAGCCGTCGACATGGCACGTTCTTTCGTATCTGTACTCTGCGCAACTGTCGCAGCTGCACCTCGAGGATCTTGACGAGTGCCTCGAAGATGAAGATGAGGACGAGAACGACATCGTGACCATACTCTAGGGAGGCAAAAGACACTTTATGCCCTGCTAATGCGACTTTGGATCGATCAGTCGCTGAGGCGGGTGCCTGAAGCAAAATGCCGAACCTCCGGGTTTTGTTGGTGTCAGTATTGGTTTTGGTGGTGATGCAGGTTGTAAGTTGCAAGTAGGTACACTAGCTGCAGGTACCGAGCGAATGTGTGGAAGAGGAAAGAGGAAAAGGAAGAGCTGCAGGGGAAAGGCTGCGCGAGGTCTTTTGAGAGAAAGGGCACTTTGAAAGGAGGTCAGAGTGAATGTGAGAGAATATGCCCGGGTGAAGGAGGCCGAGTGGAACAAGGGCCCCGTGAGGCGTGACAATAGCTTCATCCCAACTTTCTGTGAGGTGGTGTGGCTCAGCTTTATCCAGATACTCCCAGGTAAAGAGAAACGCTCGGCCACGCGACCTGCATTTATCGTTGTCCTACCCCTCCATGCCCTCTCACCTCTTTTGGCTTTTTGCCAATTCCAGGCTCTTCATCGTAATTGTAACTTTTCGGTGAAGGTGAGAGTCAAGCAAACCAACAAGCCAATAGGAAATTGTTATTCTCGTCAGCGGAAGCGTCATCTGAAGATGGGAATGGAATTCCTATTGGTTGCGTCTATAGCGTTTTTGGCACGCTCCCAAATTCCGAATTTGTAAATGGAAAAACCCGCGCAAAGGTGAAGTTGACTCATCGTAAGGCAGCTTCCGACATTCACTACTTTGGACGAGGCAGCCCGGATTCAGCCGACGGTTGCGAGAACTTCATTATGCCTCTTGATACTGTCGCAACATTGACAAGCCAGGTGTCGCCTTGCTCTTCTCGATACCCGGAGTGAAGTTGAGAGTTGTGGAGATCAGCGGATGCGACACCAGATGCAACGGCCGACGGTGAAATGGTAAGATCCACATCTTCGGTAGAGTCTAGAGACGAAAGTGAGCTGGCCAAGGGGACAGACGCCGGACAAGACGTAGACGAAACGAAGCTAGGCTGACAGCTGGTCGGCCTGTGCCAAGCGAAGAAGTTTAAACGATGCGCGATAGCGGGATGTAACCGGAGCAGTGCGAGGGAGGCCCCGGGGAACGAGATCCAAATCGAAAAAGGCTTGCATGGATGACGCTGGTAAGCACCAGCCACACGTGGCCCCTTGGGGCTAACTGATGGAGGGCGAGGGCTCGCTCAAGGGTCTCAGATAATCACATGGTGGAGGGGGGAGGAAGTGGCATGCGCCCTGCAGACTAAGACACTAGGAGAACACAGGAGGAAGCGCAAATGCAGGACCTGACTGGATGATGGCGTCAAGGGGCCTCAAGCTAACGCTGCATTCTGCCATTTTTGTTCCGGGAAGTGTCCTGAAGAGAACAATGGAAGAGAAAACTACTTTTGGAGTGTTCATCAGCCACAGGAAGCCCCCACGCCGAGCTCTTTGACAATACATGTACGGAGTACTTGATGTATGTTTCTCCAAAGACAGCTGAGCATTAGCTGCAGCTTGGTGAAAGTTCAGGTCGTTAATTTTTCGGCTTTGAGTCGTCTTTGCAGAGAGATTCTGGTCCAAAGAAGGACGCCTTGACCTCCAACGCCACTAACAATCAGCCGACAAAAGCCGCGATCACTAAGAGCCAACCTATCAATACAACTTCAAAGATCATTTCAGTTGCCCCGCCTTTCACTAAGAATTACGATTCAGATTGAAAAAGAGGAGAAGTAAGGTTACGGGTACAGCTCTACGGACGACTGCCCAGCAAAGTGATTCAAGGCGCATTGCTCGTAAAACAGACAGTCCTCCGGACCGGTGCGAATGTCAAAGCGCTCGAGTGTTTCTCGGAAGTAACAAAAGTAAGCAAAAGGGCTCAGGGCCTATTCTGCTCTTTGCTCGCCTATTCGCCTTTACTTCTCCGCCTACCAAGGGCGAGAACGCCAAGGGCCTGCAGACCCTTCCTTCACATGTCCGAGAACTAGGTCGAGTTGGGGTTGAGAAGAGCCCAAAGAACGCTTAATTGACTGACAACCCATTGCGACACTTGACATGTACTGGCGTCGGACCGCTCCATTCGCAGCTCCCCACAGACCCTTTCAGACTCCGGGCCCGACAACTTGACCGACGAGGTCCT